TGTGCTAAGAAACCAGCCAAGATGCAATCAGTCACTCCTTTTCAGTGCAGAGCCAGCTGGATGGAGAGTTACACAACCGCGTACAAAATTAGACATATTTAACGGGTGACGACAAGGTTCTCTCTGTCTACGTTCAGAAGCCTCCCTTAACGAGATCCAGTCAGTTTGTTAAGAAACTAGGAGAGTGTGCAATTACCAAGTTCACTGTTTGTTTTTGTTTAACTGTGTAGTTTCTTACCAAGATGCCTTGGGGCATGTCTGGAAAGAAATGTCAGCACTTGTTGCTAAGCAGAGTCTTGTCCTGGGAGGTGTGCCCTAAATGCCCCATGGAGTCCGTCCGTGGCCAGGTCCAGGAGGCAGCTGATGGCGAGGATTTGGTGGAGGGTTCTGACACCAGTTCTGTCTCTAACTGGCTCTGTGACCTTGGAGTGTCATGTCCCTCCTGGAGTCTCAGCTTTCTCATCTATATGCCTGAAGAAGAGGAAGTGGAATGTCTTCAGTCCTTGCCTCTTCCACATGTCTATTCTAAATCTCCTTTAAAAGGATTTTTGCTCTTAAAGGCATGGAGGAGGGAGGTGGTAAGAAAGCAAAAGAAATCGGCAGCTCGGGTGCAGGGCTTTCTCTGGGGTCAGGGTTTGTGAAAGGAGCCTAATTAAAGCCAAGTGAGCTCTTTCGAGTGAAGTTCTCTGCAGAGTTGCTTGTTGACCTTGAGAAGTAGGGATTGCTGAGTGAGACAGAAAGGGAAAGAAAAGAGAGGAGAGGAGAAAGAGAAACGGGAGCAGGAGCAGCACAGAAAGGACAGAAGGAGAAGAGATGGAGGGGGACAGGCAGACTCGCGAGAAGAGGGAGAGACTGAAAGCAGAGAAGCAAGTTGGCGAAAATCAGAAAGGAGGAGAGGAAAGCAGAAAAGAATAAAAGGCAAGGAGGAACACAGAGGAGGACGGGTAATAGCAATGCACACGTTTATTGGTTCATTTCCAGCGCACACAAACAGAAATGATCCTCGCAGCCTGGACATGAGGGTGTGATGGGAGAAGGTATGGCATGAAATGAAAGCAGGAAGCACTTTTGTGATGCAGATACCTAAAGAAGGTTTTGATTATTGATTGTGTATGTGTGTGCACAGGCACACACACATGTGCGTGTAACAGGCAAGTTTTGTCTAGGCATTGTGAAACGTGCCACACAATCTGTGGCCATGGTCACTATTCCCCCACAATGGGGATAATTTAACCACCGTGCCTGTCTCCTCTCTCGGATTGTAATTAATGCCCTAAGCCAATAGCTTTATGGAATCCCTGCAAACCCCTTCTCTTTTTCTGCCTGGAGAAACACAGTTGTTCTACCTAGAAATAAAAGCAGCTGCACCCCCAGGGTAGACAGGTGAAAAGAGAACCAGGAGATAATCTCTGGCTGAACACATTTTCAGGTGCCCCACCTAACAGCTGCTGTGTGGTTTGCAGCCCTCTGGTTTAGGTGGTGGGGGCTCCCCCTGCCTCCCCTGGATGCATGGGGGCAGGAGTCCTTGGAGG